ACCTTGGAGGTCATCGAGTCCAACCCCCTGCTCAGGCAGGAACCCTACACCATTTCAGACAAATGGCTGTCCAGTCTCTTCTTAAAAACTTCCAGTGTTGGAGCATTCACTGCTTCTGGAGGCAGGTTGTTCCATTGGTTAATTGTTCTAACTGTCAGGAAGTTTCTCCTTAGTTCTAAGTTGCTTCTCTCCTTGATCACTTTCCATCTGTTGCTTCTCGTCCTGCCTTCAGGCGCCTTGGAGAATAGCTTGACTCCCTCTTCTTTGTGGCAGCCCCTGAGATATTGGAACACTGCTATCATGTCCCCCCTCATCCTTCTCTTCGTTAAACTAGACATACCCAATTCCAGCAACCGTTCGTTATATGTTTTAGCCTCCAGTCCCCTAATCATCTTTCTTGCTCTTCTTTGTACTCTTTCTAGAGTCTCAGCATCTTTTTTACATCGTGGTGACCAAAACTGGATGCAGTATTCCAAGTGTGGCCTTACTAAGCCTGGCAGAGAAAAAAAGCTAGAATAAATTGAAAAAGATTGGGGTTTTGATCTACACATGAGATCTAAAACAGAATATATCTAAATGGATAGAATATGTATTCTAAACATAAGGTATTGTAACGATTTGAGATAAAGAAAATTTTGGTCATATAAAACCTAGAAATATAAGTATTGAAATAAGAATACTATACTGTATTATTAGTTTGTTAATATAGATGGTAGAATTTATATATAAGGGGTGTATTTTAAATATTAGACTATATGAGGAATTGTGATAAAGGAATTGTGTTTAATTAAAAATTTGGAAAAAAATAAATATTAAATGTTAAACTAAAATATTAAGGGAAAATTAACCATCAGGTCACTGATTGGCTAAAAGTTTGAATTTTTACAAATAACTAAGATTTGAATTTAAGATATTGTTATGAGTTGAGCCAAAGGTTAAGTAAAACTTAGAAGTATAAATACTAATAATTAAATTTGTATATGGGTTTGTGGTACAAATGCTGCTGGTTTATTATTTTTTTCCTTTTCTGGAATGGAAGGAAGAAAGGAAGTAGAAGGAAGAAAAGGAAAAATTATTAGACCCAAATATGAGATAGGGGACTTAGAAATTGGGATCATTTAAAATCTGGAAATGACAAAGATTAAACGTTAAACTTAAATATCAATGGGAAATTAAAGTGAAGAAAAACTTACTAGGTTATTGTCTAAAAGATGGAATGTCAAATTAATTAAAATATGTATAGACTGAACATTATTGATGAATACTAGAAAGGTATTTTTTGTTTGATTGATAGAATAAGAAATGTATTGGTTCGAGTATGGCAGTAGATATTATGGGGGAAAGAGAGGGAGTTAGTTGTTGTAATACTTTGAGACTTGTTACTGATGATACTCAAATGTAATGGAATTACTGTGCTCAGCTGCCACGCTACTTTTCAAATATGTAAATGTAATATTGGAAAATTAATAAAAAACTTGGGGAAAAAAAGGACTGGACTTCAGCCCACTGTCTCCGCTGCCATTGAGAAATGAGGCCTTAATCCCCAAAGTGGAGGCCTTTGCAGCCTTGCGCCATTCTCCAAGCCGCCTGTTCCATACTGTTGCTAAGCAACGTGTCCCAAAGCATCCGTAACCTTCTTCAGGGCCCCCTCAACTTCCACATTTCCTGTGCCAGGACTCACACGGCCTCCACTGCCCACTTCAGGCAACCTCACATTCCTTAACTGGGACTTTGTCTGCTTGTGAAGTAGCTTCACAACCACAACCACGAGTGCAGAGTAAAGCGGTCATGTGACATCTCATTTAATGACCGGTTCTCTCAAAGACTGAGATTCCGGTCTGAATTGTGGTCATAATACGAGGAGTGCCTACAGGGAATCCCCAAAATTAAGGCATCGCATAAGCAAGAGAGGACGGAAGAGAGTTCGGGTTAGTGTAAGCAACCCATTCCTGACTCCCTTTTTCTCGCTTTTTGCATCATTGCGCTCCATCCCATCATGACTTCTTGACTACAAAAAGGGAAAAAAATGGACCCAGGAAATTATAGACCAGTCAGACTGACATCAATATCTGGGAAGATCCTGGAAAAGACAATCAAGCAAGGAATCTGTGAAAAGTTAGAAACCAACAAAGCTATTGCAAGAAACCAACATGGGTTTGTCAAAAACAGATCATGCTAGACAAAACTTAGTGCTCTCTTTGACAAAGTGACTAAAGTAGCTAAAATAGTGGAATAGTGAAGTGGACATACCCCCCATGTTTCCCCGGAAATAAGACCCGGTCTTATAGTTTTTTGGGGGTTTTTTTGCCTCCAAAAGAGGCATCAGGTCTTATTTTCAGAGGATGTCTTACCTTAGAACAGACGCAGCCAAGCCTCCCAGGGCTCGGCACCTCTCGTGCTGCGTCTTGACTTCTTCAGCATCTGCTTGCCACCGCTTGCAGCCGGACACCATGTGGCACATGGCCACGAGTGGCAGCACCAGCCTGAAGCGCCGCACG